TACGGTGAAGGACCATGAAGTTAACAAAGCATAGCTGGATGCGTTTTCAAATCCGTGATATATTAAATGAAATAATTTTTGGTTTCCATTTATTTTTGGTGTCATCAAACTAAAATCACTTCTGAGTACAGGACTTTTTAGAATTACCCTTGACTGATAATTCCAATAGACATCTCTGATTTCTATAGCCAAACCAAATTTCTGCTGATGTTGTGTAATTTTTGTTTATTGTGGATAATGCAATTCTAATTTGCATTACATGTATGTTTCTCAAACAGGTGGATGCTGAAGATGAGGAAGAAGATAGAGAAGACAGCCCAGCTCCTGCAGACTCTGTAAGTTCTACATGTAATATGCTGTTGAACAAACATTCAGGTTTGACTTATAATCAACAGAGTACTGTCAGATATTTATTCTAAAACACTTGTAAAGTATAGTAGCAAGAAAATTTGATGTATTTGATATTTCATTTTTGTAAAGACTATCTTAACAGCAGCCTTGGGCAGTTTTAAAATTTTCACTTGACACATGCTGACAGTAATCTTTTGGTCATACAGCCATACAAATTAGTTTGCTTTAATTCTTGGGCTTGATAATGTATGATTGAAGTTGTCATCAATTCATTATGCACCACTGGTTATTCCATTTCTGTAGAAAACTGATGCAGAGTCTACTGATGAAGAAGAGGAAAAACAAGAAACTCTCAAGCCATCTCCTGATGCTGATACAGTGATTCTCTTCACCAAACCTGGAAACCAAGGTATTTTGAATATGTTTTCTTTGAAATGTTGTTCAGAGGTGAAATTGTGTCCATGCTTAGAGTATGATGTGGTGTGATTGTTTCAGCTGGGGTGGAAACTGGCAACTTCTCTATAATTACTGTCATTCTCATTTCCATTCAGGTTGTCAAACTATGTTTGATTTTCACCAACAACCCTCTACACAGTTGTTACCATTCATTCAATCACACTTTGCAGTTGGCTGACAATCTCAAGCCTCTTTTATGTTTGACATTGATTCTCATTTGTATGTGTGGCAGTATTTCCAGCTGGGGAAGTAATTAAGTGTCTCATTGGCCTTGGTAACAATGGCAAGAATGATTTTATTGTGGAACATGCAGAAGCTTCTCTAAGGTAACCCATTTTTTTTCATAGTCAGCTAAAATATTTATTGTGCTTGGCAGATAAGAATTAATTTAAATGAAGTTCACTTTTACCAATCAATTTTAATTTCTAAATGTTCTCCTCACCTTTTATTTATTGATGTATTTACATGTTTGTTATTGCATTATTTGTAGGTATCCTCAAGATTACACCTATTATATTCAAAATGTAAGTATAGTTTGGTGTAACTTTTTCTAGTTCCTGTGTTACAAACTTGATGCTCTGTTTAAATGAAGCACCTTTCCTTAGAATTTCTTATGAGAGTTTTATTTCTTCATTTCCCTTAAAAGGAATTTTTAATTGGGTTGTGCAGATTTTTTTTCCTTTGAATTTCTATAGTTCACTGGTTTCCAATATAATACTGTTGTACAGCCAGGAAATCAGGTGAGTGTTGCTGAAATAAGAAACTGACATACTGCATTCAGAAGTTTTAACATGTTCCCATAACACTTTTTTCGGGATGCTCAGGAGTTTCTACTTTTGTAAACTTGCTGTACAGATAGAGAGTTGCAAATCAGTTTTTTTTTCAGGGTCCATTGCCATTCACTTTTAGGTTAAAATAGTCATAAAAAAATTTGGTTGAAGTTATGATTTGTTATGTTTAATTTTTTTTATCAGGCATCCTTTGAATATGCATTTAAACCTCATGAATCATTTGGTGGGCGTCCATTTGGTTTAACTGTTAACTTGGTCTACAAGGACTCGGTGAGATATTTACATCTGTCAAAGTGAACCACTTGGCCATTGTTGCATTTAAATCAAGTGATAGGCTTTAACTTGTTTGATGAGCCATGTAATCTGATGGTAAATTATTACCTTCCTAATGACTTGTACAGGAGGGTAAACCATTCATGGATGCTGTCTTCAATGAAACAATCAATGTAACAGAAAGCAATGAAGGAATTGATGGTGAAACGTAAGAACACTTCTTTGTTTTATATGGGCCATAGGCTTTCCAGTTTAAAAGATGATTTTGTATAATCAACTGGGTTGATAATGAGAATTGGCCACTGTAGAGAGTTTCTAAGCTGATGTTTGGAGCATTGCCCATTGTTGCATGCAATACTGTTAGAAACTCTTGACAGTGGCAAATTTACATCATCAACTCACTTGATGAGACAAGGTTATCTTGTTTTGCTCCACTGTCAATGCAGCACTGTAGTTTCTTTAAAAACTTGCCACCTTTTTTCAATTTGAAGTTCAGGGAACTTGTTTTTGGCCTTATTGTACTGCTTGCTTTTTCTTTTTCATTTTTTTCCTTTTGGTTTAGGCTTATGTTTTCATTGTTATTATTTTTCAGCTTCTTCCTGTATGTGTTCTTGGCAGCAATAGCTCTGTTGTTAGTTTTGGCTGGTCATTATGCACTCACATCAGTCAAGGTTGGTAAAGTTTATATCCAACATTATTTTGCTTTGTAAATCTGGTAATTTTGCCGGTATTGAAGTTTCACATGCAACTGTGTCACCACTCTCAACTAGGAGCCAAAGTCTAAACCTGGTATTAAGTCGATGAGAGAATTAGATTTTCTATCAAGCAATCTACTTGCACAGAACTGACTTGTTGTTGTTGTTATTTTTTTCACTAAGGGAAAGAAACCAGCCTCCAAGCCTTTAATGGAAACGGGTACACAAAATAGTAATGATATTGACTATGACTGGCTCCCGAAAGAAACAACCACAGAGTTTGGTAAGTTACAAAACCCGAATGCTAAAAATAATTCTTACTTTTCTGTCAGTGGGGATATTAGTAGAACTTATCAAGCAAGTATTAGCGAAAGTTGTACCCAATCATCCATGTGGTATAAGAATCAGAGATCAACTGAGGTCCATTAACCAATATTTGTACAAAGTTATATCAAATTATACATGTAGCATTCTAGTTTTCCTGACTGTGATATTCGGATATACAGCAATAAAAACCTTCGATGTCCTTTGATTTTAATACTTTAATCCACACAATCTCCACATGGCAGCCAACGAGTATCACAACAACAACTTTTCCTAGGCATCACGGGATGCCTACAAACACAACCTTTTCGCACTTCCGGTACAATACACTACATCCCTCCCTGTTTTTCCTTAATTTAGAGCGAAAACNTTCGGTCAGAGACCTTCAGTTATTTACATACGCCACTCATATTAACATATTTAGTATTCTCATCTCTTAGTTTTTAGGGTTTGTTTCTTGTATTTTGTCCATTGCTTTCTTTGTAATTAGGTTTTTTGCTATCTTTTTATTAGCACCAGTTCATTAGTCGTTATCTGTAATTACATAATCATTAGTGCTTCGATCCTATTTTATGCTCTTTTTCTATTTCAAAAGTTGTAAATAACAGAAGGTCTCTGACCGAAACGTTTTTTAAAATTTGTTATATTTTTTACGTCAAAAGTTGTCCATCCTCGCAATTTTTTGAACTTTGTCTATATATATAGATATATATATATAGATTTCTTCATTGAAAGTGCTGACTCACGATATTTACACAAGTCTGTTTTCACAAAACAAATGACCAGTGCTTTGTGAGCAAGCGACTCTTGTGAAAACAAATGAAAACTGAGTTAATCTCAGTATGTATATAATTAAATAAAATCTTCTGTTTTTTTTTTTAGTTGGCAAAAGCTCTCCTCGCCGTTCACCAAGAAACAGACGTCAGAAGCGCAACACAGGCTCTGATGAATAGTTGTTAAGTTATTAGATATATCAATTGAGAACTAACTGTAGCTGGCCCATGGACCTTGGTGTGCTATACACTGTCTGTCAGTTTTAAACAAAATTTTTCTCTGAAGAAACAGGAGGTAGTGCATCACTACCTTACTTTTTTCCCCCAATTTGACACTCATTGTAGACACTTGTTCTGCTGACTCATTATGATCTGTAGTTAAAGCTTTCAGTAGATCCTTTATGTTATGAACATGTCAGTTCTTTTCTGCTTGTTCAATCAAAATCCAATTTATCTTGAAATACAAATGCACAGCTTATATTTTTAGTCATGCCTCAAGTTATGTGGTCTTTGATTGGATAATTGGTTGAGAAACCTGGAAACTAGCTGAATTGGCAGTTTGTTATCAAAACTTATCTGAAAGCTTCTCTAACCACCAGCATTATAATTCAATGAATTTTTCTGAGTTCTAGAGAAGTAATTAAAATCCACTGACTTTCACTCAAAATGGCTGCAGAACGCAAAACCATGTTCTTCATGTAAAATTCCTGACTTCATAGATGAAGTTTTTACACTAAAGAATATTGAATAAATAAAATCTAAATAAGCCAAAAATCATTGTCTTCATCACTTCCGCTCAAAGCAAGTTGTCAAGAAATACATTCAGTCAGATCTCCATGAAATGAAATGAATTGATGCATTCACCACAAATCAATTCGTAAATAACGAATTTCGTTTATTGTACGCCGGAAATCCTCAGAGCTTATTTCAAATTTAGGTGAAAATGTTGGTGCTTACTTTAAAGGGGTCCCTTGTTCAGTCTTTCTCAAATCATGTTCTAGATAAGATGGTACAGCACTTGCAGTTCATCTCGTGGTTTTTAACTCGCCTTACGGGCTCGTCAACCGTCAAAAAAGCAGCTTTAAAGGTGTTTCGGATCTCGCTGTTTTTCCCATTTTCGCTGATTACTACGCGCGGTAGAAGATCTTGAGAATCTTTAAACTGGTAAACCAGTTTCTAAGTTTACATTTATAATCACTTTATGGCCATGTTTACTGAATTTCGCCTAAACTGACAGTTAAAAAATATTCTGATACTTATTTTAGTAGTTAATATTTAAAGGGGTAACTACTTTGATAACTTATATACTTTAGCCAGTGGCCACGCCACGCGCGTTATCCCAGCGTTTTGACCAAGTCACTAACGTAAAATTTACATCATGTCGAGCGACTTGAAAGCCCTCGTGAGCTTGTACCGTAAAGGAGAAGGTGGTGCTTTCGAGCGATTCAAGACAAGAATTTCTATCTCGGGCAACACATCAGTGATTTCCAAGGGATCAATGACTAGTCTACCAAATTTGGGCTCGGCTCTTATGAGCTCAAGCTTTAACGACTTAAACGGTGGTAAACCTCCACGCCACATCACCGCATTTTAAACATGAAATCTTCAGCGTTCTGCAATATGCTATGGACTTTGGTGTCATCTCGCAGGAGTCTAATGACCGGATCAAAAAGTGGGTGGCCAAGTGCCATGCTCACCCTGGCTCCTAATACCCAGTGCCCCACTCTACTGTGCAGTTCCGGTCTGTCCATTTTACAGATCTTCCTTCTGAGACAAACAATTTCCAAGGAAAGGGAAATTTTCATTAAAGAATGGGTAGAAAGCTGCAAATCAGAGAGACGGGGGACTGTCAGAGCAGAGATCAGGAAGGAAAAAGCAGGTGCACTTCCCCACCAGCCGTTTACGCACAGTCCAAACCTCTAGTAGCATGTGGACAGCGTCTCTTCCTGAGATCCTGCTAATGCGGTTTGCGTGTGTAAAAGTGGGGAGTATGGTATCGTTTGAAACTACAGTAATTGTAGTACGTAGCCATTGTTATAGGTCTTGGAAGTATACGCCCTACTCCACTACGTCAAAGGAAGACTGATTAAGCCTCCACTGAATAGCTAATAATTCATATCAAGTGATGGAAAACGTAACCTTAACTGAATGTCAACGAATAAATATCTTCAGCTGTCAAAATCGGAAATTACTAGTCGTTAGCCGTCAAAGCTACCCCCCGTGGAGATACCCTTTTAGTGACTGTTACACAACCAACTAATGATTGTTGAAAGCGCCTCGTTATCGAGGGAAAAGAGCCTTTGTAACTTCAGCGTTCAAATTGCTGCTTTTCGATTGCGCAGAGTGACTGAGAATCCGAGGGAGGCTTTCATTTCAGGGAAATAAATGCAATGGACTAGCATTTTCAGAGAACGATTTGCAGTGTGTAAGTGTAGCTTATCACCAACGACGATTTGATGCCTACTAGTTAGGAAGAGGAGCAAACTCTGATGAGTCAAGCTGAAGGTAAATTTTAACTTCTTGTCTCGGAATCATGATTATTTGCTTGCATGTAAGGCAAAGGTTTTCGGAACATTTTATCAATTAAAATGGAAAACCGTGTGGAGATGTACTTATCTTTCTACGATATAACCACTTTGAAATGATATGAGTATCAGTTGTAGTTGGACGTTGAGGTCACAAAGACGGAGATCAACAAATTTGCTCACACTTGACCGCAAATGGCGCTCAAAGAGTGAAAGTGAATGCAACCTTTTATCAAATTGTTACAGCCCTCCGCCTGCCGTTGTGCGATAGCTTTCTTCGACCCGTAACTCAATTGTCAGTTGACTTGTTGAAAGTGTGATGACAGGATGGAAAAGGATTTCGCAAAATATGATTATCTTAGCGTTGTCATTAAGATTCCTATTTGAAGGTGGTACATCAGTTTGAAAGGCTGCGATTTTAAATTTTTTTTCCAAAAATGTGATGATTGGTGATAAGGAATACTTAACTTTGTCTTAAAGTGGTACAAGTTTCAACAGTAAAATAAACTTCTAATAGTTGATTACAGACCTCCAACCCCCATTACATCCAAGTCTGGAGGTTATGAAAAATAAAGCCCTGAAAAACCTGGAAATTAGGACCTCAAACTTGGAGAGTTCAAAAATATGCGTCAAATAAAGCAGCAACTACAGATTATTTGTTTCAGAGTATTCTTTACCTCATTAGTGCTCTTTGTTGTACTCTTTTGCTGCTTTTTTCGCAGACCTAATTAGATTCTGATCTGGGTTGAACTTAAAACACGGTGAGGTTTCCTCTGGGTACTGTAACTTCATTGCCATTAAATTCTAGAGAGTCCCCTCCAGTTGAAGGGAGGAACGACTATCTGTTTTGTTCTTGTGAACCATGCTGAACAGCCTCCCCTACCCTGCATTACTGTGTGGCAAAAGTACAACCAGCTCCGCCACCTTCTGAAGATGGCAAAATCTTATAGCTGAGGATTCAGGAATTACCATTTGTGATATGTACCACCACATAATGTCTACTCTGTAAAAGAAAATTTTCTGATCATTTACTAATCCATCAACAACTCTAGCTTCCTTCCAAGCAATCATACCAATGTCGTCATCTGTTAGAGACCGATAATTGTGAAATTCATCATACATCTTGTCAATGTTAACAGTGTTCAAGGCTGATTGGAATCTGGATAGAAAGCACTCTACACTCTCCCATTTTGCCTGACTAAGTTTTTGAACATTGATCCATGTTGCATGCTTCAGCAGCTCATCAGTTATAGGAGATTTGCTCAAAACATATTGGAAGGCTGCCTTGAAATATTCCTGTGCTGCTGTTAAGAAATGAGTATAGGCTGTTGGTGATATTTCTCCTTGATTAAGGAGCCTCTGTAGTGTAAACTTTGTCATCCCTCCTAAGTGAATTGATGAAAGGGGTAAGTAAATCGTTGGATCTTGCAAATTAATCTCATTAAGTGCTTTCTTCATGACCTCTACCTTGATAACACGATTTCTAAGAGTATTTGCAAGTTTCATGATGGAGTGATAAACAATGTGAATGGATGGCTTGCCTGACTGCAAAAGTTTGTTAAAATTTGTAAACAGTGGGATGGAAGCATTATGAAAAAACAGAGAAACTTCTCTCAGTGGGCTTTCAAAGGCTTTTTGTAACCTCTTGAATCTTGCTTCACCAGCATCTTACTCAAAAAGTATGACGTCAATCCAGTATACTTCTCAAGTGTGTGTTGAATGCAGCGTTCTAAAGAAAGCCACCTTGTATAAGAATGCTTCAGTATCTTACCATATCTCTGGTTGCAAAGTTGCATGTACTCTATTAAGATCCCTTTGCGTTTTGTGCTTTTCTCAAACCAGTAATACTGATCAATAAGAAGCTCTTCTACACTTATTCCTATAATCTTTGCTAATTTGTCATGTGCTCAACTTGCTGCAATGTGCGCCAAATGGCAAGGGCCTCCCAATACATAGGTCTCTGGATTTTTTTCTTTGAAGCGGGATGCCAAGGAATTGTGAGCATCCACCATTGAATTAGTGTTATCTACTGAAAGGCTGACAACTTGAGTCCATGGTATCTCATCATTGAAGAAAACAATCTCAACGAACCTCTCCAGTCTGCATATAAACAGTATCACAGCTGCGAGACTGCCCTTGTTCGTGTTCAAAATGACATTCTTCTCTCCTTAGATAATCAACAATGTGTTATTCTTCTGCCACTTGATAATAATAATTGATCATGGGATTTTGCTTCAACAATTGTCAACTAACTTTGGTATTAAAGGTAAAGCACCGGACTGGTTCATGTTGTATCTTCCTGACTGCTCTCAATTTGTCCAAATAGACGTATCTGAATCTGATAAACATTCTCTTTTGTGTGGTGTCCCTCAAGGCTCCGTTCTCGGCCCCATTCTGTATCTCTTATATACCTCACCTCTTGGCGATATACTGTGACGTCACAACATGTCATTTCACTTTTACGCTGATGACACCCAACAATACACAACCTTCACCTACAACAATGAATTTGAATGCAACAATACAATGGCACGACTTCATGACTGCTTAGTTGACATTGATTCATGGATGACCTTAAACAGACTTAAGCTCAATAAAGAAAAAACGAAACTTCTGGTTCTTCACTCCGGACATCGTCCTCTACCTGCTCTCGCATCCCTCAAAATAGGATCCGAAGTGATTCTTCCATCAGATTCTGCACGAAATGTCGGCGTCATTTTTGACAATACTATGACTATGGTGCCTCACATCAACTCTACCTGCAAGAGTGCTTTTTATCACTTAAGGAACATTGCACAAATTAGGNTTATTATTATTATTCTCTAACTTTTCCTGGACAACACCAAAAAGAGTCTGTACCTTTGACGCATCCCTGCCACTTGTCACACACATCTGATAAAAGTGAGATGTAACAGTTTTGGCTCTTTCTACATCAAAAATTCTTACTGTTGCTAGATTCGTCTCTTCAACATCTGTATCACTTGACCCATCAATCCCAATGCTGAATGGATGTTTCTGACAGTGCTGTACAACATAGCTGTGACAATGTGGTCCCAGGGCCTTATTGATGATAGCCATAGTCTTTGTTCTTGCACATCCTTACTGCTTAGCAATTTCACTGTCCGGAAATATTGCCCTAAAGAGTGGCCCAAGGTGACCTGAAGTTGCAAGTGGGAGGTTATGTTGGATTAGAAAATTGATTGTTCCGACTTATGCTCTGGTAACACTTTCTTTAATGCTATCACCTGA